TCGGCGACAACAACAGTAAGATTGAAAGTGAAACTGAATCCACTTTCTTTTTGTTTGTCTTTTTAATGAACAAAACTCATTTAACACAAACACGAGCTCGAACATTATGTCTAAACTTTTTAATCATCTTGAACAATAAACGAACCGTGAACAAAACCAAGCTCGTTCGGAATGGTTTATTTACAGCCCTACCTGTCGTTTAATTGCGAAACAGACAGCAGCACATAGTTCGTCAACACACCTTTTTTATCGGTTAGATTCCAGTTTGGTTTGCACACATATCTAGTCACAATTTGGACACTATAAAACAAAAAGACAAGGCTTGGAAGCTGACTCTGACTGCATTCAATCTGCATTCGATCCTTAATTCCAACAAAAATTTCTGGTTTTGATTTGGAACCTCTCAAGCTTCCTTGTTGGTACTTTCTCGCTATGTTTATATATGAACTTTAAAAATATATATATATATATATATATACACGTGTGTGTGTGTGTGAGTACAATAGTGACTTCTATTGTTTTATTGTTTGGCAAATTCTGCAAAATTCTGTTTGCATGCAATGGTAGAGAATTTTCATTTCAACTTTCATACAATTTTAATTTTTATTATATTAAAAATATTGAAGATTCTTAACGATCATAATCAACATAAAATATTAAATTATAAGAAATTACGGAATTAAATCACATAAAAAATCAATCAATAGATTAATTAATAATGAAATAAATTTAACATAAAATCATACCGAAGAAACATCTTATCACAACGTTTTAAATAAGTAAAAAAAACCCTACTATAAAAGCCGCCATGTTTTGTTTCTTTCAATATCGAGTCTAACCAAAAAAAAAAAAAGAAAAAAACACTATGTAACGGCTATTCGTTCCTTTTGCAGAACTTGGGAACAAAAAGAAAAGGAATGACCTTCACAACCCTCAATCTCTCTCCTTCTCTAAAACTTGTTACCGACAATAATAGCTTCAACTATGATTGCTTCGGTTCTCAATTTTCCAAGTCCTTTTTATCATCAAAATTGTTCCTTGGGAGTTCTTCTTTCTCCGTGGGAACTCTCCGTTTCAACATCAATCATCAGAGCTCGGCTCGCCACCACATCAACAGCTCACGATGGTCCTCTACTGCCTTCAGATGCTTTGCCCAGCTATCAGAGCCATCGGTTTCGGTTCATGGCCATGGCAGTAAAGGTGCTTCCGGTGAGATAAGAACTACTCTAAAACCCCATTTTTTCATTTATTTATTTATTTTTATTATAACCCTTTTGTCCATTTTCTCTAATTTTCTTGTTTGTTTTCGTGGTAACAAAAAAAAAAAAAAAAAGGTGGGCATTTCATTTAATTTCTTTTTTTTTTTCCCTCAATGCAAAGCCATAGATAATTGCAGTGAATAAAGCAATTTGTGAAAATGGGGTTTCTATTTCATTGAACTAAAGCTTGTGGCCTTTTCTTATGTCCTGTTTTAGTGTGATTTTGATGTCGTGTTTGCGCATGTTTGAGTTATCTAACCAATGTGACTATTGGAAAAGAAAGAGTTTGTATAATTCCTTGAAATTTTGTGTCTTTTTGCTACTGCTGCAGAGAGAGTGATAGTGCTAGTTATTGGTGGAGGGGGAAGAGAACATGCACTTTGCTATGCATTGCAGCGGTCGCCTTCTTGTGATGCTGTCTTCTGTGCACCAGGCAATGCAGGGATTTCCAGCTCAGGGAATGCAACCTGTATTCCTGACCTTGATATTTCTGATAGCTCAGCTGTGATTTCTTTCTGCCGCAAATGGAGTGTTGGTTTGGTTGTTGTTGGACCAGAGGCTCCCCTTGTTTCAGGTCTTGCGAATGCTTTGGTAAAGGCTGGAATTCCTACTTTCGGCCCTTCAGCAGAGGCTGCTGCTTTGGAAGGTTCTAAGAACTTCATGAAGACTATCTGTGACAAATATGGGATTCCTACTGCTAAGGTTCGTTATAGAAGGCATTCTTGCCAAATTTTTAGTTGCGGCATTTTTCTCTATTCTTTGCAAAAACTTGGGTTTTATTACAGCGTGAGACTTGTTATTATTTCATAAATTTATCACCTTTAATTAGGTTATGTGGGAATTGAAAAGGGCTTATTAAGCTGAGTAAATGTTCTTGATTTTTTATGCATTCCAATGTTGTTATGTAAGCTTCTGTTTATCCTGTTCTTTACTAGAATAGTTATGTTAATGCTTTGAATCTTGGTGCAGTATCAAACATTTTCAGATGCATCAGCTGCAAAGCAATACATTAAAGAGCAAGGAGCTCCTATTGTTATCAAAGCAGATGGATTGGCTGCTGGAAAAGGAGTTATTGTTGCCATGACACTGGAGGAGGCATATGAAGCTGTAGATTCAATGCTTGTTGAGGGAATTTTTGGTTCTGCAGGTTGCCGGGTCATTGTTGAGGAATTTCTTGAAGGAGAAGAAGCATCATTATTTGCCCTAGTAGATGGAGAGAATGCCATACCGCTGGAATCTGCTCAAGACCATAAACGGGTTGGAGATGGTGATACAGGTCCTAATACCGGTGGGATGGGGGCATACTCTCCAGCACCAGTCTTAACTAAAGAACTTCAATCTTTGGCCATGGAATCCATTATTCTCCCAACAGTAAAGGGAATGTCAGCAGAGGGATGCAAATTTGTTGGGGTTTTGTATGCTGGACTAATGATCGAGAAGAAGTCAGGCTTTCCTAAACTCATCGAGTACAATGTCCGCTTTGGAGATCCAGAGTGTCAGGTCAGTTATGGGAGATGGGCTGGTTTTTATGCATAATTTACTTTTAAAGTTAAGCTTTTAATATTATTTAAGCTTCAATGAGGCATTATAAACACTTTGAAACTCAATCTCAATTATATGAAGTTTTTGGGTTCATGTAATCTCTAACCGCTTTCCTGCCAAGAAGCGAGTGAGGCTTATTTTTGTTAGAATCTGTCCTGTTTTTGTTACTTTAAATCAGAATTTAATTAGCAATATGCTCCCCCTTGTAATGCTAGGAGTTGTTTTTTTCTTCAAAGTTTATCTATGCTATCTGTTTGTCTGTATTAGGTTAACAATTTGATGGTATTATACATATTGTGTAACCTTGGAATTAAGGAAAAGATAGGACAGAAAACATTAGAAGGGAAAGGCATAAGAATTTGTGCTCATATGCTATGGTATTTTATTTGCCTGCTTTGTTTTCCCTTCTATCTTCATATCTGTGCTTACCCCCTATCCTGTATATTCTAATTTAATTTTTGAATGATCAATGCTGCCATGATATTATTGCTTGGATCCATTCCTTGGGTCAATGGTCGGTAGTCTGATGCTCTTTAGTGGTGCACACTACAAATATCATCAATATCTAGCACCTTAATGATTTCCTTGTAGTAAATCAGGTTCCTGGGAGTCACCATAGGTTCATGTTTATGATATATTGCTTTAAAACCTTATGAACAACTTGGCTGCTCTGACATCATATACTTTTGATCCTGTCTCTCTGTATTGTTCTTTGATTATCTGCCTTTTTGCATAACCGTTTAGCTTATGAACATTCTTGTTTTTCAACTTTCATTTTTGACAGTTGCAGAATACTTTCTAAGATTAGTTGTCTGACTGAGAGGTTCTAACTGATTGCTAGAGTGAAATTTTGGATATTTTGACATTACAGGTTTCAATTAATCAAGGTTTGTGTCTCCGAGTTGTTTTAAAGGGCTGAAAGTCATATGATGGAAAATAATTAGTATTTGATATCCAAGTGAACAAGGGTAAAGATAAAAAGATTATTGAAATTTGAAACCATATAAATGGATTTAAGTGTCAAGGAATGACATTAATTTGTTGATATAAGGTTTGATATAGACTGAAGGTCAGCAATTAAATCAAATCTCTGGTTTTGTTAACCGACTATGTTCTGGAAGTCATAATGGAGGAAGAAGTTGATATCGAACATTTGGTTGCGATTACCTGACATATGATGAACCTAGTTTTAGACTGTTATTTTCATCAGCTAATTTTTGTTTTGATGCAGTATGACCTGTACAAATTTGTTGGTTGGGGACATATCTTGATATAGATTGTTAAATTGAATTGTTGCGGTTTGCTACACAGGTTCTGATGGTTCGATTGGAGTCTGATCTTGCAGAAGTTCTGCTAGCAGCTTGTAGAGGAGAGCTAAAAGGTGTATCACTGAACTGGTCCCCCGAGTCTGCCATGGTGGTAGTAATGGCAAGCAAGGGTTACCCTGGCTCTTACGAGAAAGGAACTATGATTCAGAACCTTGAAGAAGCAGAACATGTCGCTCCTTCTGTCAAGATATTCCATGCTGGAACTGCAATTGATTCGAATGGCAATTTCATTGCTACTGGGGGCCGTGTTCTTGGGATTACTGCTAAGGGCCGAGATCTTGAAGAAGCAAGGGATAGAGCTTACCAAGCAGTTGAAGAAATCAACTGGCTGGGAGGATTCTACCGGCAGGATATCGGATGGAGAGCACTTCCACAAAAGCAATTTGCTAGAAATGCCTAGTTAAACATTAACATACTGTGGACTACTTGACTAGACATCTTACAATGTTTGATGTCTTATAACTAGCTGTTGCTAATTCAAAATCGAAATAAGATATGAAAGAGGTAAAAGAAACTTACTATTCGGACAAAAAATTGTCACCCTGAAAGTTCTACATTTCCTGAAAATCCTTTGTCCAGTTTCTGTATGTTTTAGAGTTATTACTTACAGGGCTTCGACATCGATGAAGTTTACCTAATTCACCTCAGTTAAAAGAAAAAAAATGGAAATTAACTTATCCGAAGCACAAACTTTATTTGAAATGCCTCAGAATTTCACATTCCAGCATATAGCTTTTTCTTACTCTGGGACAAACCATTTTCAACAATTTTTTTTTTTTTTTAAAGCGAGGGTAAAAGAAAAAGGAAAATCAACACCAGATACCATGTACATCAACATAATTAAAAAAACAAAAATAGTGTTGAAAGAAATTTATATATATAAAAAAACCCTTCTATACCGTCTATACCTTTTTGGGTGAAAAAAAATTTCACCTATCCAACCAAAAGAAAAAGATAAAAGAAAATTATATACCCATCTTTCAGTTCTTCAATGGGATGATCAGTATAGTATTTGATCCCATTGCTTTACTCCATCATATGGTTGGGACTATCTGGCTTATCCAGCCTTCCACTGGTGGAAAGGCTACCTCTCCTATTAAGCCCTCCACTTGTACAAACCAAGCACTCATCGTAGCCGCAACCACATCTGCTATATGAATTCACCAAATTATGTCTGCCCATTGAGTAGACAGGGTTTATTGGAACATGACCGTGCCCCATAGGGCCCCTACCAAAATCGAGTGGCCCTGGTGGCTTCTCAGTCCGAAAATCTAGGGGTGGTCTTGGAGATTGAACGCTGTATTGCTGTAGTTGCTGGTGATGTTGGTGGTAATAATGATGAGGCTGGTAAACTTGGTGATTGCTATGGTTGTTGCTTTGAGGATGGAGGGTGTTGTTGAGGTTGTAAAGGCTAGGAGAACTCTGGACTTTAGCCATGATTAATCCATTATTAAGGTATCCACTCAACAATGGTGGTTCTAGAGGCAAAGGATCAATAATTTTGCCATCATCAGGAGAAGCGGAATTCGGGGAAGAGCAAGCAGAGATGCTGAACATAGGGCGGGGGTTTGGGTTAACAGGGGTTAGCCTTCCACTAGTGTTTGGACTTGGACGAACTATGCCATTAACGGCCTCTATATACCGCTGCTCAATGGCGTTGGGGTCAACAGGGTTCATTTGGTTCTCCAGTACGACTGGGCTCAAGGGGAACAAGAAAGCACGTAGTTTTGGACTTCCTTCACTTTGAAGACGATGATACTCATCAACCATGTGTTTGAGATCCTCATCGGATTTTACAGTGACCAAGGCATCAAGTTCCTCAGGGATAACCTGGTATTTCAGAATCACGTCCCCTTCGACCATAGTGTTGAGCTTCTCCATTAATTCTGTCATGTATGGCAAAAATGTAACTTAAAAAGGCTTTTTAAAAAATTGATGTCCTCTTTCTTTTTCCTTTCAAATGCTTTAACGCCGTAATCCACTTAGACTGATTCATATATCGATAAAATATAAAATATTAAAATTTATGTATTTATATTATATTTTATAAAAAAATTATGAATTATAATTTATATAATTATAAAAATATATAATATATATTTTTATTTTTATTAAATTAACACATAATTATTATTAAAATATTAAATCGTGTTATCTTATTTTCATATGCTTTTGTATCATGTCGTTTGTTTTAAATTATTAGTCTTTTCGCTTAAAAATGAAAGACAAACTGGTGTAAAAGATAGCGAGGAAACGAGGGCAAACCTGAATATTTGATATCCCGAGGGACCGCCACCACACGAGTCTCCCCTCCAACGTACTTGAGGTTCGCGTCCCCTGGCCTCAGCAATATTTTCCCGCCATAGCTGCACAGAAACTTCACCCTACTCCTCGGCGATGAAGCCGCCCCTTCATCACTACCATCAATGATTTCGCTCGCCGTCATTTGACTCGCCTATACAGAGGGTTCAACTCAGTGACTTGTTGTTTTCGCTCAATCTCGTCCCCAAACGCCAGAGTTGCTGCCAGCGTTTTCTTCCCCAGTCTGCCCATTTATAATGAAAATTAATTTTATTCAAAAGTATAAAAAAAAACAAAACCAACATCCTTGAAAGAAGAAATAACACCAAAAAAAAAAAAACGAAAGATTAAATTTAATAAAGAAATAAAAGCTTATTAATGGAACAAATTACAGTTGCAAAACTTCTGGCTTTTCAAATAATCAAAATTCAGGTTCTAAAATATGCCATTTTTATAAGATGAGAATAATCAGGAAAAGAATCATGAATTAAACAAATATTTTTAATAAACCAACAGTGTTGAAAAGATAAAAGCTTATAGGCTACTAATATCCAAAACATCATTAAAACCTACCGATTCAACTCTGAAGCAGCTTCCAGGCACCGAATTATTCAACAATAGCCTCCTTCGAAATCTATTGAATAAATTACATTAAATTAGATAAAAACATTTCCAGAATCAAGATATCGGCTTAAAGGCAAATATTTCTTAAAAATGAAATCAAATTATATTCAGGAAATATAAAGAAAGAAATAAGGAAATCAAAGAAGCCAAGAAAAAGTAGTTGTTGTTTGGATGGTGAGAACTGAAACGAGAATTTTGAAAGAATCAGGAAATTAAAAAAAATTGGAAACAGAATATCTTTTTATTTTAGATAAATTTATAACGTAATTTGTGTTTGTTAAGAAATTGAACGTATAGAAAATGGTTTGCTGATAAACCGAAAGTGGTAAAAAACAGAAAAAGAGTATTTTCTGAGAATTATGCTTACCACAGATTTTCTCTTTCATTTGATAAAATAATATTAATTTAATTAAAATTTGTATTTTTCAGCATTATTTCTCTGCGTCGCTCTCTGTCACCTGAGAAACGGCACGGACTGATCATCCCTCCTTATCTGCCGGTTTTCGTTCATTTTATCCTTTATTATTACTAGAAATCACCAATATACCCTTATCTGCGCACCCAAGATAAAAGCTACGACACGTGTCATTGTGAGGAGCATCCGAAATATCCTTCAGGGCCCCATAAGTGCTTGCGTGGCATGTTCGTGACTCGGTTTTGGCTAATGACACGTGGAATGAAAAATGCTGCTATCTTGGGATGAAGAACCGAAGCCGCTAATGCACTGGCACTCCACTCGCCGGTGAAAAAAGGTTCAAGAAAATTGTCTTTTCAATTGATGTAATTTTTCTGTCTACACGGAATATTTGGAATTTAATTAGGTGTAGTGAGTATTTTATTCAGTTAACTCAATTAATTTTAAATTAAATTATTTAAAAATTAATTATTTGAATTATTTTATTTTATTTTATTTTTATTAATTAAATCAAATTTATTAATTTTAAATATATAATCATTTTAAATTAATTCTATTAATTTTTAAACTGATAAAATAATAAAAATATAATTATATTAAATTATATTAAATTGATGTCATAAATTATTCTTAAATTATAATAAAATATTTAAATATAATATTTAAATTTAAAAAATTTTAATGTAATATTTAAATTATTAATCTATTAACAAATATGATATTTAAAATTTTATTCATTACATATTATCATTTAAAATTAATAATATTAGAGGTAAGTATCATTTTATTTAGATTTATAATTTAAGTATAAGAGATTTTTAAAAATTAAATATCAAATTAAATATTTTATTATAATTTAAGAGTTATTTATAATATTAACTCAATTATATTTTAAATTTTAAATTTCTTATATTTAAAATAAATTAAATAAAATTATTTAACAAAATATTCAATTATAAACTTTAACTAATACATCATATATTTTAATTTTTAAATTTTAATTAAATTTTTTATTAATTCAATTATTTAATTAATTATTCAATAATTATAATATAATAGTCTTTCATACTTGAAATAAATTAAAAAAAAAATAGAAAAACAACTAAACAATACATTTCTTTATAATTTGAGTAATCTTTCGTGACCAAAGTTTGTCGAGTGCTATCATTTCTAGACAATTTTGAGATTAGTAAATGTAGTAAAAGGAGCATTTTAAATTTAAAATTCTTTATTTAATTGAATTTTATTTTAGATCAACTTAAAAAATATTGCAAAATTTTCAATTTATTTAACCACATTTTTTTCTTTAATGTATTATTACCGAGTTTAAATCAATTAGTATCATTGGAACATGACAGTAAAAGAAAATTAAGATTTCACTCTTATCATATCAATAGCCAGTAGTCAAATATCAAAAAAGAAAGCAATAGATAACTGTTCTTAAAACGCAAGATAAAACATCCAATAATGGAGAAGTCTAAGAAAACAGCATAGCTTCTCAGTGGTTGATTCTCTGGAAGAAAAGAGCAAAGCAGATTCAAAGGTTATATAAAATTTTATAGTAGATGAAAGACACTACAGTCCAAAAAGTTTCTTCCATGCTTTAAGGATCTTGCCTCTGCTGTTCTTTTTCTTCACAGATCTTCTACTCCCAGTTGTCTCCCATTCTTCATCATCGAAGGGTGATGCTAAAGTCACAGAATGGTCATGGATTCTACAATACCTTTCCGATAGAGAAGAAGATCTTCTCATTGAGAATGCTCTCTTCACAGCAGCCTGGAGTGCTGAAGCTGAAGAAACTGAGCTGTTTCTTCTCAGTTTGGGACCAAACATCTCCCCATTGTTGCCTTCTTGATCATCTAATTCTAGCTTTGATGGATCTTGGGTTATGGGGTTTGAGTTCTTGATGATCTGGTCGGTTTCTGGGTTCTTCTCTGAAGAGTTTGGTGTAGGATTAGAAGTGGGTTTGGAGTTTTGAGAGAGTGGCATGAGATCTGAAGATTCCATAGATCTTGAATTTTCATTACCAACAACTTTGATCTTGGAATAGGAATACCCATTCATTGTTTTCCCTTTCTTTTGGTTCTTTCCTTTCCCTTTAGGGCTAATGAAAGTGGCACTAGAAATGGGAGGTGGGGGCTATAGGGTTTGCTAATGTTTTGTGAGGAGCTAGAGCATAGCAATGGGGATAATAAATATAAAATGTGTATTTGAAAGTGGGGTCAATTAGTCAAATGTATACAAGGTTGGAAAATACTAGACACGTGTTGTGGATCAGAGTACATTTATTGAAGGTGGATTCAGAGATATGGAAATAAGATTAATTAGAGATTAAAATTTAAAGATAGGCCTTTCACTTTTAACTGTTGCTGCATCTCTTTGGTTCAGGCTGGCAAAATTTTATAAGGTAGTTTTGACGGGAATGCAGCTTTTGTGGTGGAACTGTAACCAGTTCATTTAGTTATAATACAATTTAGTGTTTCCGCAATTCCATTGCATCAATTTTTGTTATGATCTGTTTGTTTTATAATTTATATATGTTCGACTAATTAAGGCTGAGGCTGTATCTTGGAATGCTCCCGCTCCAATCATGTCTAGTCTAGTCTTTGGTCAAAAGGGCTTCATCACGGGCCAGGTGACCCACTCGGTCGGTCTTGGACGAGCTTGGATACCTTAGGATCAAAAGTACCCACAGAAAGCTACATGGATGCTTAGGATCAGTGAGTTCACTACTGTTGACCCACTTGTTGCCTCACGCAACACCTGTTCAGCAGTTCATGCAACGTCCTTATATACGTTCTTCTTATGTCTTTTTAGAGGAAAAAACTAAAAAGTAGTATAGTAGTAAAGTCAAGAAGAGCTTTTTCTTGGCAAGGCCCAAATGGCTCAATCTGTACGCTTAGGCCCCACGACTATGGAAAATTCTCACTATAACAAATGGTATCATAGCCTGGAAATTGGATGGAAACTTGGTTGCATGGCGCCAAAATATAAGAAATCTATAAAACATGTAAAGAGAAGTCAAAGTCATGAACACCAACGGTTTAATGCAATCTTTTTCATAACATTTTTTTTTTTACTTCAGACAGCTTTCTTCCAGACAGGTAGGTAATGGTAGTATCTTCCAAAATTTTCTTTCATTTTCTTTATTTTGGATTATATTACTTGGATCAATATTAGGAGCTGATACATGTACCAAGATAGTTGTTAATGATGAATTTCATTGATAGTTGAATTGTTGACAACATCTAACTTTGTTGAAGAGTTTATCTGCTTATTAAATTTGGTATGTTGAGATAAAATGAAGATGACTATCTAGAACCATCTGCTTCATTTGTTATGTTCAGACAAAGATTTGTATATGTATGTAGCAGAAATGAAAGATTTGGTTAGTTTCAGACTAAGCAGCTAAATTTTGATAGGTTTACGGGGACATATGTCATGTTCTTGCCTCTCGGTATTTTTATACATGCATTTATACATATACACATCCATGTTCATGCAACAAAGATTTTTGGTTCATTGGAGCCAAGTTCACCTGCCGTGGTCAATGTTTAGAGTCAAAAGATTTTCTTGTAGTCATCCCTAACCTAAATAGGTGAATTGGGGTTCAAGAATAGGGAAATATAGGATATATATGGGTTCTTTTTCTTGTAAATTAAATGTATGGGGAAAGTTTTGACTAATTTAGTGAGAGAATTATGTTTGCAAAAAATGTGCAGTTTTGGGTTAATTTGAGGTCAGAGTGGATATCCAAATCTATTCACAACGTTTGGAGTGGGAGTCTTGTTTGGCGAAGAATAGTGATATAGTGAGCAATGGCACTCAAAGTTTCAGCCCAGAAGGCAGCTGAGATTGCAATTGGGTCAATTGGGCGGGGATATGATCTAACTCTTGATTTAAGGTTGAAATATTGTAACGGAGATGCAAAGGATTCGCCCTTGATTGAATTTGACGATGTTGGTTTTCTAGTGGGTAGGAGACCAGTCACAGGTTGATAACAAGTTGATGTGGGTAAGAAACCAGTTACAGGCCTTCGGCTCTATCTGGAGCGTAAAACAAGCAATCGCTTAGCTATCTACATGCAACATCTTTCTTCTCTACCGTCGTACTATCAACTTCTGGATGAATCTGAGGATACCTTCCCTCAACAGCCCTATGATAAAAGATACTTTGAAAAGGTTGGATGGAAGAACTTCTCCAGAGTTTTCACAGCTCCTATAGAGTCTTACAACGATCTCTTCTTACTACTTCATTTCTCTGCTGTTTTGGGTGCTATAATTGTTAGGCATTCAGAGTGGGATGGACCAATTGGATTTGCACCTCAGTCAGGCTCCACCACAACCTGTGCTAAATATAGGCTCATCAGTTTACCCTGGTGGCCCTCCAATTCCTAACTATACCCCAAACTGTTGAAATTTGTTGATACATCAGGCTCCATCGGTAGCGAGAAATTTAAATTTAATCGAATTTTAATTTTTAATTTTTAATTTAATTAAAAATAAAATAAAATTATTTGAGTTCATTTTATTAAAATTATTTAATAAAAATAAATTTATTTTTTTAATTTTAAATTTAATTATATATTCAAGTTTAAATTAATATATATAAATAAAATAATAATTTTAAATTAAAATAATAAATATATTAAAATTTAAAAACATGCTCACAAGCTATTAAATGCTCGAATTTTGGTCGCTGAATAAATTCAATTGTTCGATTCTGAGTTCGACTTGATTAACGAGGGAACTATATTTGAGTTTTATAAGGATCGATAGCTTACAAACGTTGATGCATCATTTACATTCGTACCCTCAATTTTTTCCCTTCTTGGGGGTTTCTCTCTCTTTGTCTTTGTCTTTTTTAATTAATTTATTATTATTATTATTTTTTTACATTTCTCCAATGAAGAACCGCTTTTTGTTTTTCGTTTAGGTTTTGTTGTTCAGAATTCCCAACGTGAAAGTCTCGCAGTTTGGCAATACCTCGAAATCGAACATACCACACCACCACTTTAGTTCTTAGACTGCGTAGAATGTACGAATTTTTTTTAGTCTATTTTTCTCATGAACTTAGGGATATTTTATTCAATTTGAACTATATTTGGCTTTTGAATGTTGTTAATTTGTGAAATTTTGTTGATTTTCTTGTTAATTTGAGCTTAAATGGTTTTCTTCTGCTTGTTTGTGAAACAAAGCATGGAATTTGCTTTCATTTGATATAAATTTGAATATTTGAGCTATTTATAGACTTCTGATCTGCTCTGTTTTAGTAAAATATGCTTTTTTATTTAAAAAAAAAAATTGTATCTGTGGGTTTATGTTCGGTTTTTACAAGTTAAGCTATTTGTGGAATTTGGGTTAGGTTTATTTATGGAAATGATTGAAAAAATGTTGCTTTACTTGGACTAAAGTTTGTTTGTTTTGAATAATTGAATCATGTGTAGAATTTGGTTCCAATTTGGTGAAAAAGAGTGATGCACTGAGCAATGGCGCTTAAGGTTTCAGCTCCAAAGGCGGCTGAGATTGCCATTGGGTCCATTGGATGTGGATATGATATTGGAATGGATCTTAGGCTGAAGTATTGTAAAGGGGATTCAAAAGATTCATGTCTTATTGAGATTGGTGAAGATGGAGGCCGTGAGATTGTTTTGCCCGGTGGAATTTCAATAGCCAACGTGTCCAAGTCAATAAAATGTGATAAAGGTGAGCGCATACGATTCAGGTCTGATGTTCTCTCCTTCCAACAGGTAAAAGTTTATTGTGCTTAGTAGCTGATAATTATCATGGACATGTATTAGTATTTCATGGTTGCGGCATTGGTCAAATCCTGTGGAAAATATATGAGAAATGCTAGTCATGTTTGTGATTTGGTTCTGTTTTTACTTTTTTTTTTTTTTTTTTGGGTCTGTCTTGAGAGTCTGCTTTTTCTCATTTCTTTCTTTTATTTTCTCCAGATGTCAGAGCAGTTCAACCAAGAAATATCTTTGTCTGGAAAAATACCATCATGCCTCTTCAATTCCATGTTTGAATTCTCTGGTTGTTGGCAAAAAGATGCCGCTAATACTAAGATGCTTGCTTTTGATGGGGTGTTCATCACCCTCTACTCAGTTGCACTGGAGAAATCTCAAATGGTGCTACGAGATCATGTCAAGAAAGCAGTCCCATCTACATGGGAACCTGCAGCATTGGCAAGGTGAATTTCTACAAAAATTTGATCTTTGAATGCTGCTGATAGAGTTCTTAAATAAGACCCTGGCATCTAGGAGGCGTTTTCTTCCTTATTTAATGAATTGGCCTTCAGCCCATGCTTATTTCCCTCTCCTCTTTGAATTTTGCCGTCACATGGAGAATAATTCAGTAGAAACTTTTTAATTTTTTTATACTGTTTCAGCGTGTATATTCTTGATGAAAATAAGTTGAATGCTGTTGTGTTGGTTGGTTATAAATCTTCTGATGTCCACTGTCTGTTTTATATAATGTTCTCTACTTTCTGCTGTATAATATTTGAGTTCATTATATAATTTTTTGATGACATCCCAGGTTTATTGACACATATGGCACCCATATTATTGTTGGTGTGAAGATGGGAGGGAAGGATGTTATTTAATAAAACAGCAGCATTCCTCAAATCTTCAACCTGCTGACATCCAGAAAAGATTGAAGGATATGGCTGATAAGAGGTTTTTAGATGCCAATGGATATTATAACATGGAGTCTGAGCAAGATTTCCAGAGTGACAAGGTTTGCAACAGAACTGTTAATGATATACTTCAAATCCGTTGCTGTATTTCTTGATAAACCATGCTCCTCATTGTTTGGTAATGGAATCAATATTCCTAGTCCAATAATTCTTTTACAGCAGGGTAAAATCTCCATGAGAGGCCTGGCAAGCAAGGTGTTATTGTGGAAGTTGTTGCTTATTGGCTCCAAATTTGTTTTTGAGAAGTACTGTTCATAAGGGAGAGTTTTCTCTCTCTCTTAACATACTAACACTACAACACAGTATCGCATTGGTTTTACATGATTGCTAGTGAGATCCCAGTTAAATGGTTGCTAGAGAAGATGAAAAAGCTGCAACTGTTTTAAATGTTTAGGCTTTAGACCACGACTTGGATTTGTAATTATTTTTCCTTTGCCACTGTTTGATGAGGATAGTGTTATGTTCTAGGTCTTTGAATTTTTGTTTTTATTTGTATTACTTTGACACTCTATGCGTAATTGCTTGCCTGTGATTAATTAATAATCTATATGATAAAGAAATTATGGCTCTTCATCTGCATATTTCTGTTAAGCTGCCATCTTTGGTAGTGAAAATTTATTTGTTTAAGTTTGTTGTTGAGTTTACTTTATCTGCCAGTCATCCTTAAGTGAACCATTGGCATAATTTGTGATATCTTCTGAGGTATCTTATCTAATAATTTCTGTTTCAGTTTGAAATCAGGGAGCAGCGGCTAAGGTTTGCTCATAACTGTCCATCAAGTTCATATGCACATAAAGAGGTTTGTGTTCTGATTTTCATATGGTTTTGTTAGCTTATTAGTTAAAGTCCCTTCATAAAGGTTTAAATTTTTTCCCAATGTCAATGTTGTTACTATTTACCTAAAATTGCAGGATATTGTAATCATTTACAAAAGGAGAGGTGGAAGTGATAATAGAAACCTATCTCATAATGACTGGTTACAAACGGTTCAGTCAGAGCCGGATGTGATCTCAATGTCCTTTATCCCAATTACTTCTCTGTTGAATGGAATTCCGGGTAGTGGATTTCTGAGCCATGCCATAAATCTGTATTTGCGATGTAAGATCTATTTCTGTCTGTTTACCTAATGCATTTCCGTTTTCTGCTACTACTTAGATCAAATATTGTGCTTAGTTTTTAAAACATGGAATGCATTTATTATTTTCTAGAAGAAGTATGCCTCAGAATTTTGGTTTTTCTTATTCTTTATAATTTGTTAAATATCATAAATTCACTAACCATCTTGTTGTTATGCAATTCTAAGGCAATCTAACACAAGAGTTATGAGCTTATTTAGGTTGAAACCGTTGTTAAATGACCATAAGTTGTAAAGTAAGTACCACACTGCATCAATAGGATTTGATCTTGAATCACTTTTGTTATCATGGAATCCTTGACTAACAGTGCTTGCACTAAGAGAGGTCTTTGGAATAGAATAATTGATCGGTATCTATCGTGTTTCATTAGATGTGTCATGAAACAATGAGAATTTGTTATCGGACTCCATTTTCCTTCATTTTGCTTCATGCTGCAAGTTTTTTTTTTTTTATTTTATATAGTGACAGTCTACACACGTTTCATCTATAAGCTATTGCACTTACAGATAAACCACCAATTGAAGAACTCCACCAGTTTTTGGAATTTCAGCTTCCAAGACAGTGGGCACCAGTTTTTGGTGAACTTCCTCTGGGTCCACAACGAAAACAGCAAAGCACTGCATCTTTACAATTCAGCTTCATGGGGCCCAAGCTTTTTGTGAACGCTACTCCGGCAAAGCATTTTCTAACATTGAAAATTTTCCAGCTTATTGTTGGATGCATTGAGTGTTAGACCATTTAGGTTTCATCCATGTATGTGTTGAGTAGTTCTTATTGCCCTTCGGCTAGATAAACTTCATAACACGTTGATGTGCTGGTGTTGGATTTATAGATGATCACTACACTCTCTTCAGCATTTTAAATTAAAAGTTTTTGTGCCATGATGATTGTATGTTAAAAAGGAAACAGCATTTTGTAATTAGTCAAGATTATCTATAGTTCTATCAAAGAAAATGCTTCTAGAGACCTCATAGCATTCTCTTCATCTTGGACTTTGTCTTCTTTAGGTCTCCTAAAGAGATCACATAGATCACATTTCAACTTTGTCGCATGGTATGGACCTCATAGCATTCTCTTCATCTTGGACTTTGTCTTCTTTAGGTCTCCTAAAGAGATCACATAGATCACATTTCAACTTTGTCGCATGGTATGGATATAAAGTTGGAAACTGATATTAACTCTTGCATCATTGAAGCTGCAGCTTCTTCTGGCAAAGTCTTATACTTTGCTTATATCAAAAGAATGGAGCCATAGCTAATTTCTAGTTATATAATTTCATGACAGGTTGATGTGGGTAAGAGGCCAGTGACTGGCCTCCGACTTTATCTAGAAGGTAGAAGGAGCAACCGCTTGGCCATCCACTTGCAGCACCTTTCCTCCCTTCCAAAATCCTTCCAACTTTTAGATGATCCAAATGGGAACTTCTGCCAAGAGTCTCATGATCGTAAATACTATGAGAAAGTTTATTGGAAGAACTACTCTCATGTATGTACTGCTCCTATCGAATCTGATGAAGATCTTTCCATAGTAACTGGAGCCCGATTGCAGGTTGAGAATCATGGTTTTAAAAATATTCTCTTTTTACGGCTAGGCTTCTCGGCTGCATTGGGAGCTATGTCTGTTAAGCATCCAGAATGGGATGGATCGCCTGGGTTGGCACCAAAGTCAGGACTCATATCCACACTAATCAGTCATCACTTCACAACGGTCCAGAAGCCACCTCCAAGGCCAGCTGATGTGAATATAAACTCTGCTGTTTATCCTGGAGGCCCCCCTGTGCCTGTTCAAGCCCCCAAGCTTTTCAAATTCGTAGATACAACAGAGATGACAAGAGGGCCACAAGAAATCCCTGGGTATTGGGTCGTTTTTGGGGCAAGATTAGTTGTTGAGAAGGGAAGGATCTCACTCCGGGTCAAGTATTCTTTACTGACTGCAATAATACCTAATGATGAAGGCATAGAGGAGCACTAGCCGGTTTTTCTCACCCCGTATCACCTTGTTTTTCCTTGCCCAGCATGGAAACAAATATAAACAGGAAAAAGTTACTGAAGATCAAAGAATCCCAAAAAAAAAAAAATGAAAACAGAAAGGTGGAAGTTGGAAGTTGGCAGATAAGAATGGTCAAAATTACACAGATAAATTTCTTGGAAATGGATAAAGGGAAGGGATGCTAAAAAGGTGAGGGGATATGATTGGGTGTGTTAGGGGTTGGTGGCTATAACATTGTATTCATTGCTTGCAATTTTATCTTGCAATGTAATTTTTTTATCCTTTGTTTCTAATATCAATCCCGTGCTCTGTTTAATGCACGATTTTTCACTTGAAAAAAATACTTTGAAAATATAATTCAAGAATAAATATTCCTTTAGGTCACAGTTAGGTCTAGGCTTGGACTAAATTAAGGTAAAGTGCTAAAAATAAGTTTAATATTGCTCATGCCTGCATGAAACATCAATAATTGTAATACCAATGCAGACTTTTTTGCTAAGAACTCCAAATTTTAAACAGAGGAATTCGCCTCTTTCAAATTGTTCATCTGCCACACAAGAATAGAATTGTTCCAAAAAATGAGGGCAAACTGCATTATGTGACTGATAGATAAGACACTAGAGGAGAACATTTTCCGGGGTTTTTTTTCATTTCAATTTGTCAAATTTGGACTCAACCTAAGCTGCTGAAGTATTACATCCTGCAGAATAGTAGTTTCTCCCGCAAACCAGCTTCAAGATACAATATTTCATTGGATAATGGAGTATATAGAGATGAGGAAGGGTGATTGTTGATAAATATATATACATCCAGGATGATGCTTGGTGTATTGTACACTCTACGGAAATACAAAATTATGTTCATGGTGTGGCCAATAGATTCCTTCCCTTGAGCAAGGGAGTGGAGCAGGTTGAGCAATATAGGTAGGATGTTGCTCTCCTGGCATCACTACTGAGAATTCTGATGCATATGATGTCGATACCTACCATCAAAACATATATACATCAAAGATAGTTCCTCGATTGTATGAAAATGAGCATATTTCAGAAATAGAAATATGTTTTGTTTCTGTATTTAACCTCCAGCTGTCGTTTGATTTGGATGATCTTCATTCCCAGACTTACATAGTGATTAGAATTAGTTAATTATCATAAACATATCCATAACAGAAACAGTCTACATTTTGGTAATGTGGTTCTAATTATTCTGCTTGAGAGAAATTGGTAAACCATTGCTGAGGGAGAAAGGATGGTTGAAGAGTCAAATTTCATGATCTACTATCTGTTTGAAATTTCCTTTTTAAAAGGTTGCTGCCAAAAGAGTATATACAAAGAAAACCTGAAAATGCAGGATACTTTACATAACAGCCTGATGAGATAGAAACTTACCCTTTGTGGATTGCCAAGTTTCTCAGATCCTAAAGCACCATCAGTAACTTGATCAGGTGAAGAAAAAGCAGAATTTGGTCGAAAAAGGTGTTCAAAGATGGCCATGATAAGAAACATTGATATCAAGATGGCCGTAGCAACAAAGCCAAAAGAAATGGCATTCATGGATGTTCCGAAGTTTTTCCACTGAGTTTCCTTATCAGCAACTGTTTGATATGGACTCGGATCTGAACTTGTGTATATGTTCCATGGCCTTGATCTTTCAGTACTAAACTCATTCATAGTTGTTTCAAAAAGGCCTTGGATCTTTCTCGTAGGAACAAATAGTACTTGTGAGTGATCAAAACATGCTGAAAGCAGATATATATAGGCGTAGCTGCTGGTTCTTCTTCTCAGAAAATGCCTTTACTCATTCATTTGTTGTCATAGTCTCTATAAAAAAGTAATTAAAGTATTCATTAAAATTCTAATATACAGAAAGTGGACAAAATTTTCAATCAAGGAACATTAATAAAAAACATATTTCAAGGGAAAAATGCAACCTATAACAAATTGTAAATATTGTGATTACATGAGAAAATGCATTCAATGCAAGGAACAATGGTGACATCCGAAAATTGATAAAATTGGTAATGTGGAATTTGGTGAAATTCGCAAATGATTAACAAGAGAAAAGAGTGTTGCCAATGACTGTGCCACGAAATGCTCAAGAAATTTCAACAGCAGAGATTAAACATTGACAACAGTTACGAAAGGCCATAAAAAGGGCTTCCTGAAAAACCATATGATCAGCTCAATACCTCACCCAAATTGTTTACCTTTTCACTTACAGGGCACAGATTACTTATGTTGATGACTTACTAGTTATTACTTATTACCATCACTGACATAAATAAGATAACTAATCATGAATGAAAATATGACAGGAGTGTAGTTTCATTAAATTCTCCAAAGTAATCACAACTGATGGACTAGGCCAAAAAGGAAAAAAAAATGTTAGCATTAGGAAAGATGAAATTGTTTTCACTGCCGATGGAGAAAGAAAGGAAACTGGTTTTCAGGTTATTTCAGCCATTCTGTTTGAGAAAGAGAGATAGAGATGTGAATGGCACTTGAAGGCTGCCATAGAACAATGGCCCAATCCCAGTTAACTACTGAGGTTTCTTCACTTTAAGAGAGAGGTAAGTACATGGCAGAATGGACACATTCAGAAAGTTGAATATTTGTTCTATATAATCCAAGAGTAAATAACTTAATACTGTTGATATCACAGACCAAAGCCACTGAAAAAAGGTCACTGACCCCAAGTTGCACAGCAAATTTCACCTAATTTTAAGTACTTCAGCAGCAGTGACTGGAATGCCAGTGGCATCGTTACAAATGAAAACCAACTTATCAGAACTTACCAAGAGATGAAGAAGGAAAGGAAGGATATTTAGAGGCAGCAGATTTTCAATGACTCTCAGGTGATCCAATTCCGGCGTTTTGTGCAGTGTTGCAAGTGAAGGGATATAAACTAACCTGTTCTTAAAAGAAGTTAATGAAACCTTGGATTTTGGTCCTGGGAAGTAGGAGCTAACGTGATCTTAGTCCTCCGATCCTATAGTTCAACTGCCCTGGAAAAACTAGACACCCACACTTCTCAATGAATTATTTAAAGAAAGCAGGCTCAGACCAGCATAGCTTTATAACCCAATTGAAAATGTAAAGACAAAGTTATATGATAATCCCGGCAGTACACTTTCTTTTGATGTCTTGATGTTACATGATCCTGATGCCTATCTTAATGAATACCATACCTTGTCTGAAGAAGCAAACCAAAAGAAATCAAAAGCATGGGCCTTCCTGTCTGGAGAGCCGAAATAAAAAAGAGTGGCCTATTGGTTTCTTTATAAAGTTTTCAATTTTTAATTGCCGCTCAACCCACTTAATTCGCACGAATTTAAACCTGACTCTTAACAGGGATGATATCAAGTTATCATTTCTCAACCGCTCCAATAAAATTTATAATTATTAACTGCATTTCTAAGGTAAACATTCAAAGATAACAATCATTTCCTCTTAACTATTTCAGCAAATTTTCACATGAAAGATGATTATAACTATCATTAAGAATTAGTACATAATATTAGAGGGGATTACACGAGGTAGGCTGTAAAAGATTAAAGGAAAGTTACTTATGGCAAAACCTCCTGGATTAAAGGTTTTCTAGATATCATTAATTTCTGATCTAATTCATTTGCCAACATAGCTACTCAGGTGTAATCATGGGAAAAATGGTAAAATCTCACATAATCTCCTACTAAACCAAAGAAAGAAAAAAAATAAAAAGATAAAGCTCTAGAGTTTAATATTTAAGACTGCAATAACTAAAGGCTGCTGCAAGGTGAAACTACATGTTATAGATATACAAATTTCTAAATTATGTATTGAATAGGCATGTGATTAAAGCAAACAAAAAACAATTTCAGGATAGGAGCACAAGAGAAAAAAGGAAAAATAATAACAATAGGATTGAATATTTAAGGGAAAAGATGTGGGAGAGAGAAGCAATGTTGGAATACCTTACAGCTATGCAGTACCAGAAATGTCATGATTCAATAGAAGAAAGAAAATGGCCTGTGGCAAAAAGGAAAGAGATAGAAAAGGGGGTGATGTAGACCACAATTATTCTTCATTTTTTTTCTTTAAAGTAAACCTGGTGAGAGGAACCCATAAACCCATCACTTTTGTCAGAATTCAGAAACACTAAAGCCCCAACAGCTCTATTATTTTCAAAATTTTCATGTTTTTAACAATAAAAATTGAAGTCCTATCTCAAAAAGACTAGTACCGCCTTAAGTTTTTTGCTTGAACAGACCAACATTGCTTGCTCTCTTTCTGTTTCCCGCGCACTTGACTATATTCAAGAAAAGAAAAAAAAAATGAAGCAATAATTGCAGCATAAATTATGAAAAGGACCCTTGAGAAAGAAAGAGGTGGTTTTACCTAAGATGCATTGAGTAAGACTCTTTGTCAACAAGATAATCAAAATGTCTGAGAATGATGTGAAAGCCTATCTAGACCCATCCGAAAATAAATCAAATTCCCAAAGCTTTGAATTTAAACCAAGTCATCATTTAGTATTACATTACATTTCCTAGACTATAACCTTCTCAGCTAAAAACAAAAGCTGAACAGAAACAAATTTATGTAACACTAAGTTTTCATTCTGCAGCTACTAGTCATCTATGGATTGGAGGAGAGGGTAGTGGGGAACAATATGAAATATCCATTCCAAAATGCTAAAAAAAGAGAAAAAAATTTGATTCAACTACATGAAATTAATGTGAATGTCTGCTTTTATTATTCAATTTTGACTAATTTAAACAAAGCCAATTCATGCATAAAGGTCATTTCAAGAAAAGATGATTGTTTATCAATTCCATGTAAGACATATTTCAAAAAGAGAAGGGGACCCCATGATCAGAAAGCACACTAAAGCAGATTTAGAAAAACATAAAAAACAGATTGCAAGCATATAGTTCTACTCCTTTATCTTTTTCCCTTCTTTTTCACAACCAAGTCCCTTACTCAAGCAACCTTTTCCTTTACCAACAATATAACCAAGAAGATTTTTATCTGTGTCTTGTAAGAAAAAAAAAACAAAAGCAAAGATAAAATATCCCATATGTAATGGAGTTTTGGTTTAATAATCTACGATTTCATCACTTCTTTAATCTTTATCACACTCATAGCTTTGCTTTTATATTTCTTTTGGCCTCAATGACCAGTGAACTCCCACTTGTTTCCATGTGCCTCCCTCCCTCTCTCTTATTGCGCGTGTAGGAATGATGCCATAGCTGAATCAGATACAGATTCAAAAGGATAATGGATTATTATCCTTGTTTATGTTGATGTGCAATTGATTTTTCACATCAAATCATGCTGCTACCTCCCTAATGAAACCTATGACAAAAGCTTTTATTTTTTATGACCGTAAAATTGCACAGGGGAAAGAGAAAAGAGAATAAGACTATAAGTCAGGGTTATGATATTAAGACACATGATTTTGAGTATGATCTCCATTTTCCAAATAATAATAATAATAAACTGTACAAACCCAAATCAGTTTACGAATTGCATCTATAAAATCAAATTTATATTTCAATGTCAATTTTAAGTCTCCAACGTTAAACAAGGAGGAAGCTAAGCACTTGGAAAAATGGATTGAGTGGAAAACAAAAGGGCGGCTTTGCGGTTACTTTTGGCAGATAAGGTTAAGGTCCCATCATTTCCCGCAATGCAACGACATGGACCTAAGGCCTTTACTAACAAAGACTACTTCATTCGGCTATTTCATTTGCCACTCGACAGATTATTAAAGATTCAAAGGCTCAAAGTAAATATCATGCTGAATGTGAACCCAGAACTACATTTCAACTTTCAACATCTAATTGCAAATCCATGTCACATCCAATTACGGAATTACCTCACCATCACTTTACAATATAAGGCACCAAGTGAAAAACTAGTGATGAAAAAAAAAAAAGAAAAGAGATTACCAGCAACTTGGAAAAAAAAACTGCTATATATATAATATAGTGTGGGCATGAAGATTGGTCACAATATTCTGCAGCAGATTAATGATAAGAAAAAAAAATTGTCAAAATCATGGAACAAAACTTCGACAAGTCAAACAAAATTGAAGGTTGTGGGCAATCAGAAAATAAATACAATATTGTACCAAAGGTCCAAAAGAAGAAAGCAAGCCAAATGGAACAGATAAGCCTGTCAAGCCTTGAGCTTCCCATAGAAAATGGCCCCTTCCTGTGTTGTCTGGAAGCGACCGTGTCCAAACTTGGATGATGTATCAATGAACATGAGCTCGATCTCCTCCAGAGCAACCCTAGATGTTTGATGCAACAGGGATTGCCTCAGAGTCACAACACGTTTCTTTGGCTCAGCACAGCAGCCTTTGATCAGCTAATAATCCTCTTTCCCAACACCATAATGGGGGAATCCACCCATTGGGGTAATTATCCTTTCTCTGTTCTTAAATTAGGTTAAAAGGCAAAGAACAATTAAACATATCTCACTTGCAGTAACTACCATAAAATATAAAGTGCAACCTGAGCAAGGGATGCTTGGTGAACCTATCATAGTCAGTCATGGCAGAATGAGACTCATGGCCAGCTTTCCCAAGCTTGTAAACTTTCTTATTCATTTCAGTTCGGTGATGGTAACCATTTTGCCCAGCCCTGGCAACGGAGCTCATGCCTTGGATGCTCAAGCTTGCGATGAGACATGTTTCTTCATTAATAAATACTCCGCAAAATTATAAGGACAGATGAATTCAAGTCACCAAAGAAGCCCTGAACTAATGGCACAAGCATGATAGGGGAAAAAGAAAACATTTGAAACATGTATAGACCAATCAAACAAAATAAAGGTAAGATCATAACATCATATCAATCAAAATCCTAAATTGAGAATCCGAAGATTTCAATCAGGACAGAAATACTCCAAGCATCATAAAGATCTAAAAAGAGAGACAACTACCAAATGATTCAAGCTAACAGCAAAATCAATATTAGAAAAAAAAAACCTTTAAGAAATAGACAATTCTATCAAGCAAAAAATGTTTTTATTGTAGCTAAGTCAAAATCATAAGGAGCGTATCTGAAATTATGAATCAGGACAGAATCATTTGAAGCATCATAAAATCTTTATCAACAAAAATTCAATAATTTAAATCAGTTAGATAACTGTAAATTGGAAACAGTAAAAGGAAAAAAAAATTAAACCCTTGATGTTGAAACATATGAAGAGCAGCAGATTTAGCGAATTGAAAGGAAATGGAGCCCCACGATCAAAGGCCTATGGCATAAATTTTAAGTATGCCAATTCTCGGACTCCTTTGGTATTTCTTTCCAAAACCCCCAAATATTAGGGTTTTGGCGAAAGGAGAGCCCTTTTCGAGACTCCAGCCTTGATTTTTTCCAACCATGTCTTCTTATTGGGGAAATCCATCTCAATCATCGCCAGAAGCTACATCAATATGTTTTCATACACCAAGGTCATTAAAACAAAAACCCAGAAAATTCACGTAAAAGTTAACGAATTTAATCATCGATTGGATTCAAAAAGTTCGATGGAATTCGCAATGACTATAATATCTCGGGATCTGAAAGAAACGATTGAAAAACTGAGAAGCTCGCAAGCGGCCCTTTTGACTTAAACAAAAAAACCCAAACGCTTTTTTGGTAGGTTTTTATACTATACTGATAATGATCAACGGTTACGATTACCTTTCGTTGGTTTATATCAGCCGTTCGGAGACTAGGGTTTTTTCATGTGTTTTGAAGTTAAATCGTAACCGTTACGATGCGGCGGCCGTCGTTCGGAAGGTCAGTACTTAGTTGCAAAATGGGCTTTTCCCAATAATCTTTTTAGTGCAGCTTGGCCCAAAATATTTTCTTTTTGGGCAAAAAAAAGGCCCGAAAATTTTCAAATCTATAATTTTAACCCAAAATTATTTTATTACTACAATGAGTGTTTTAAAACTAACCCACTTATAATCCGGCTTCTAGCCCATCATGGCTCAGCCATGTGCAGATATTGGGCTCAGGCCACATAATCTCGGGCCCTGTGTTAGTGGATTTGGATTATTGATTAGGAAGTAATTTTCTCTTATATTTTATAAATTTTTCTCCGAACTTAAAATTGCTAAATTGAAAGTTCAGTGGTTAATCTATAAATTGAAATTTCAAATTGTTTATGTTTATGGTCAGCCTTTGTTGCATAATTGGAGTCAATAATTTTATCACCATTCTTGAATATGAGTCTTCTTTTTTCCCCTTTAATTAGACTGAATTATATATATTACCTATGGTATACCAAATTTATTAGATTACCACATTTGATTAGTGCCCAACTATTTTTTTTTCCATTTAATTAGTGCTCAAATATAAAGAGGAAAATTGGAGCACCTATTTTATGTTTGAAATGAATTAATTTATCCAAATAAGGATGTTAATAAGTAAGGTACGGGAGGATAGATCATTCTTTATCCCCGTTCCATTATCGAATTTTTATATTATATTATTTATGTATTCATATTCAATTAATATTTTAAATTTATCTTTATTTCTATTTTAATAGGTATTTAATGAATATAAATAATTCTCAAAACTGTAACTTTCATTTTAAAAAATAAAATAAAATTTATTTTTTTAGTTTTTTATTTTTTTGTATATTTAGGTAATTTTTTTAAACATTTATTAATATATATTATTTTAATAAAATATATTAATTCTAATTAACGTAAAATAATAATTTATATTATTTAATACAAATTTTATTTATTAAATATATATATATAAAATATATATGTAGGGTATGAGTACATAACATATACTATATTATTATTTTTCATCTCCGTACAAAATAAAAATTTAAAATCATATCTATCTCTATCCCCATATCTATAATATAATATCTATCTCTATTCTTATTTGAATAAAAAAATCAATTTTTTTTATTAAATATGAGTAAAATTAATATTTTTAAATCCAAATAATGATCTTAGCAAAGTATTCTTTTAGACTTCAAGAGTCTTGATTTTTAGATGAATTCACAAAGTTGACTTTTGGATATAAAGTTTCTACAGCTTGTAAATCTTTTTGAATTGTACATTCTTTACATGCCGGCTAGAAGCTAATTTTGAAGCCACATGACTCATAGTATTTATTTTATAATAGAGTACGTTTAGCTTCGGTGATTATATTCTTAAATATCATACGGATACAACAAAAATTTAATTAAAAAATAAAAAAAATAAATTACAAGTACTAAAATTTATTGAATATCACATTTAAATACATCTATATCAACAAGCCACCAAAATTACTTCTAATTCGCTCTATCTTATTCAATAGCCGATGCCTTTTTATTTAAACGATGAAAAAGTTATTCACCTTATTCAATACCCTATTGCCTATTGATTAAAGCAGTTGAAGCTGCCATCCATGGCTGTATGTGAAATTTGCATTCCACCTGTTACGGGATTCCATAGCTGCAAGGAAAAAATATCACCATTTTCAGCATTACAATTGAAGCTTCCACTATAAAAACAGCTCCAGTTCGAGCTATAAAACATGTATCTGGAACCCTGTGTAAACAGAAAAACTACAACAATATGGATGCCTTAGTTTACAAAATTCTTCTGTCAATCTTAGCTTTTATAGTTCTTTTTTTTGTTCTTAACCGTTCTAAATCCTCCAATGGGCTCCCTCAGAACAGGCTATTCATAGTGATTTTATCATTACTGTTTCCAAACTTGGAGCTAAATTTTCACAACAAAGTTGCTGAAATCCTTGAAAAAAACAAGCAGACGATACACATTGACCTATATTCATGGTTCACTGGCACCAAAACCTTGGTCACGAGTGACCCTGCAAACGTGCTCCAAGTAATGAGCACAAACTTTTCCAATTATCCAAAAGGGTTGAAATGGAGGGAGAAAATCGATGTTCTTGGAGACACTCTTTTCAGTGTTGATTTGGAATAGTGGGAGCAGGAAAGGAAACTTGTTCGTTCTTTCACTGGTCACCAGAAATTCCGTCAGGTTATCATGACAAAGATTGTTTGGGACAGAATAGAGACAGGGCTCATCCCTGTGCTTGAACACGTCTCAAAGCAAGGTTTATCTGTTGACTTCAAAGATTTGTTCCAAAAACACATCCTTGACATTACCGGGATGATGTCTGTAGGCTACAATCCCAACTCTCTCGGCATTGAATTTCAAAAAGATAAATTCTCGAAGGCTCTAGAAGATGCCTGTGAAGCAGCTTTTTCTCGCTATTTAATGCCAGATCGTTTCTGGAAGTTACAAAGGTGGCTAGGAATTGGCAAAGAAAAGAAACTAAAAGATGCTTGGGAAACCATTGATCGTGTCTTTGCAGAATGTATATCTAAGAAGCAAGAATAATCAACCAAAGGAATGACCTCAAAGGAAGATCAGGAGGGCTTCAATTTCGAAGGTTATTATTACTTGACTGGACAGGATCAGGCCTTTGGATCCGCACCTACTCGTAAAGGCTTAAGGGACAACGTTATGAGTCTCATATTTGTCACACAAGACACAACTAGTTCAGTTATGACATGGGTCTTCTGAATTGTTTCCAAGCATCCATCTGTTGAAGCTAAAATCAGAGATGAAATACTAAAAATTTCACAGGGAAAACAGGAAGTTAGCAAGACATCGTTTCTGCCAAAAGAATTAAACAAATTAGTTTTTCTACATGCAGCATTATGCGAAACACTGAGACTATTCCCACCAGGACCAGTCCTTTCAAGAACAGTTCTTCAACCTGACACCCTTCCAAGTGGCCATAGAATTGACAGAAATACAAATGTTTTGATTGCTGTGAACGCAATGGGAAGGATGACATCGGTTTGGGGAGAGGATTGCTATGAATTCAAGCCAGAGAGATGGATCACCGATGAAGAAGAGATTAAACGTGTGCCGCAAATACCATTTTCCAGCATTCAGTGCAGGGCCCAGGATTTGTCTAGGGAAGGAATTGGCTTTTATAATGATGAAGGCCACGGTAGCAACAATTATCCATAACTACAAGATTCAGATACTGAAGGATCATCATCCTGTTAAGCCCATGAATAGCGTTGTCTTTCACATGAAGCATGGTTTGATGGCTAGGATCAATGATAGATGTACTTGATTTGATGGTGGTCATCCCTATATATTGTTAATTTGGATGTGATTTCTGCTGGTTTATATATGATAAGTAATTTGGCCTTACAATTGAAATTAAAAAAAGGAAAAAAAAAAGCCTATATTATTATTATGAACTGTTTGTGTATTTGAAAAATACTTTTTACCTTTTTGAATTATGTTTAATAAAAAGTTTAGTTTAAGTAATCTTTTCTCTAGAAAATAAAAGGCCTATGGCCAAAAAAAAAACTTATAATTATAAGTAGGGAAGTAACACTATTAAGCAATAACTACATTTTGCTACAAGGTAGGGATCTAGTAGTTAAATCTCCTAGTAATTCTCATAAAACTTTTCGTCGTAAAAAAAGACTTAACAGGCTTTTGGAAATGAACTATTTTCTGTTACTAAACCAACAGTGCTAGTTTTTTTGTATATTCTGTTTAATTGGATTCAGGTTAGTGTAATCATTTGTGGTTGGTGGTGATCAAATTATGAAAATATCATTAGAAGTTTGAGGTTAAGGTATCAGAGTACTTTTGCAAATTTATAACTGAGAGCTTTACCTTAATTTAATCATTCCCTAGCTAATGATAGTAAAAGGATCGAACTTTGAAAATGAAGATTTGTACTCGAGTGCTTTATGATTTTCATCATTCATTTCCCTGGTCCAGATTTTTTAATGATAACCTTCTTGGTTATCAGGACTTTGACCAAGGGCATTCCTGCCCGATAAATGACTTTAATTCTCAATATAGGGCATATTATTCAAGCTATCTAAACTTTTCAAGGCAGTGAATCTGAAATTGATCAGAATTAGTTTATACAATTATTAAGAGCAGTATCTTGCATATCTAAAATTTAAATCTTAATACCTTCAATTTTTTTCTCTATTTTCATATTACCATTTTTTTTTAATCAAGATTTGGTGAATTTGATAGCCTTTCTAAGAGCTTATTGAATCATCGTATCTTTCAATTTCATGGTTATCAAACACCGATAATTCCTTGTCACATTTCAATAACTCAACGCTGAGTTAATCCAAACTGAGCAGGGAAATGAATCGAAAACCAGTACAAAAGCAGGAAAGATGGGCAACGAGATTGTCCTGTTTAACTCTTCTCCACTCGTATTCTTCATCATTGCAATGGAAATACAAGTTATTCACTGAAGATGGCTTTGCTACGGGTACGTACATTTTGTATTACATGACGGAATGAACAAAAACAATCAAAGCAGCTTTTTACAAGAACTCCTTGAGAAAGATATGGAACCTGGTTCTCTCTTTCTGGATGCTCTGGCACAGTTCTATTGTGATGCAAAGTCAACTATATTCTTGGTTTCTTATTTAATACCTTTCTTTTCCCTTCTCCTGTCTGCTTGATCTTATTATTATTCATTTGTATTTTCCACTATGGTTTTCAGAATGCGACCCTTTTTTAAATCTCCAAAGTTTCTTGCTATGACAAATGAAAATTGGAGCAGAATCATTCATATAGAAGAGTACAAAT